GGGGGGGGGGGGGAGACTTTTCAGAACCAGTGGCTGCCAAAGTGTGCTAAAACTCTCAAAAGAAATGTTTTGCAGCAATACTTAACTTTCTATACTGCATGAGCAAGAATGTAAAATCAGAAGAATATTAAGAAAATGTAAAACATCTCACAAGAAGAGAATAACGGTTGCCCAAAGGCCAAATTGAAGTCTCCTGAAAACTGCCTTGCAGCACACAAGCACAATCCCCCCTCCCCCGTATTTTAAATTTTAGTAATTTCACTCAGAAAAATATTAGAAGCGAGTTATTTAAAAAGTAAAAACTTCAATTTAGTGTCTTCTAATAGCTACTTGAAAAGAACTCTTAATCAATCAAACTATTAATCTTTAAACAATTCTTCATCAATCAAAGAAAGGAATACAGAAATCAGAGATAAATAAGCTTACTGCAACAGAAAGTGCTCTATAACGCAGACTTTTCACAGTGTAGGTACAAGATTGGCTTGAAGCCTAAAGCAAGCAAAAACAAAGCAGAAAAAGCAACAAAAATTATAATTAATACGATTCACCATCTACATTGCCACTAAAACATTAAGCATTCCACAATACTGACAATCAATACACCTCAAAAAGCTGCAACTCAAATTGACTGACAACACACACATACATACACATCCCATCTTCTCCATGAAAGGCCAATTAAATTATACAAAAATGTTTTGTTCATTCACATATGAACATAAAAACGCAAGTACTGTTTATAAAAAAGGATAAAGTTTTTTCATAACTACAGATTCTTTGAATTAATGAATATATAAATAACATTTCAAATAATTTCTGACAATTACATTTTTATTGGGAATGATGGGATATGCATTACACTACTTACAGTACATATACAACAATCAACACATTAAAATGTGAAAACATAACATTTTCACAGGCAGACTAAGCTTAAACAAAGAAACTGCAAGAAGAAATTAACACTTATCTATGTAACTTACCATGGACAATACGACAGGCCCTTTAGAAGATAAATAATGAGCAAGACATTGTATGCTGAATAGAAAGAATGAAATAATGAAATTTTAAAAGAATTTTCTATATGTACACTGTGCAATAGCATTTCTACTAGAAAGAAGTACACCTTCCCAAATGCATCACAAATAACAGTGTTCAAGCTGGATTTACAAAAACCAGGCGAGGACCTACCTATAAGACTGCCACCAATAGTGATTTGATAATACTCGCCACACATTCTTATCCTGTAGAATCACATTAATTCACAATTTCCCAAGAAGGTGCCCACAATTGATATCCAAAACTTCAAATTAGCATGTTCTTGCAATTTGAAAGAAACAGAAGAAGAATACTCTATATTAAGAATCAAAACAGTAATTACTAAAAGCAGATGAAAAGAATGCTAGAAATGTAATCAACCAAACCAAACAATGCATGCTGAAAGAATGAAAATATCATTTAAATAAGGATCATGAAAGTATATTCAAGGTATAAAAGGCACAGAAAAGTAGTGGCAAAATAATATCAAATTTTTCTCAAAACTTAGTGAAATTTTAAATTTGAATTGATAACCCAATGATATTTCAAACGTGCAACAAGCTACTTTTCAAAGAACTGAGAAAGGGTGGTAATAAATAAAAATTAGAAATGAATATCACTTCCCAATTAGGAACGTCACTCCAATACAATACATAAGTTCTGGGAGGTATTCTGAACTTTTAGGAAACAACAAAGTAACCAATATTTACATCTTTTACACTTCTCCCACAGCAATGACTAAAATATTGTTGTAGACGATGATGATAATGATGACAATTATTATATAATACAGGTACTGACCATTGTGCCATATGTGGTTGGTTGAAGACAAAATAAATTTCTCTGAATAAAAAATGAAGACAGACAAACGTGAATAAAAAATGATGACCGATGAAAGTGAAGACCAACCAATATATTCAACAATTATTTAGAAATCATTCCAAATTCCAAAGAAATCAAGAAGCCATTTGAAATAAGGTTTAATGAACAGGCTTACCTCCCGAGAGAGTCGTTGTTGGTCAGCCAAATCTTTCTCCCGTGCTTTGAGCTGCTCTTGCAAACGCAATAGTTCCTGTTGAAACTCATCTCGCTCCTGTTCTCGTTCTGCAGCCTGTTCTTCTAAGAAACGACGGGTATCGCGCAATCTTTTGTCTGCACTCTCAACCTGAAGAAGCAACCGTGTTCAATGACCAACCATTCATCAAAGCAATGCTCAAATGCAATAAGTTAAAATACTTTTGGAAAATAAAAATAAAAAAATTTAAAAAGTTATTTTTCCTCAAAAAAGTGTTTTGAAGTATGTAAAGATACATTTAAACTATTCAAACATATAAATGAGCAACACAATTTCAATTCTTCATATTGGTTAGTTGCTGAAAATAATAACATATCATTACTATTATCAAAAATTGATACTGATAATAAAGTTTGGAATAATAAAATGTGAAAGTACATCATTAGCAGATTTTTCACATGAACTATTTAATCTCAATTACTGGTTACATCATTCAGAAAGAACAAATGATCAGAATTCCATCTTAACAATTTTCTGTTAATATCTCCAAAATATATTACATATATTTGTATGATAAAAGTTATGCAGCTACTAATTAAAACATTAACTTCCCTGCACTTTTTTTAGAGAGCAAAATAAAGCTAGTAAATACACTGTAGTGAATTAATTATTTTAAACAAATGATTGCAAATGTAAAGATCAATTTTTATCCTCTTCACTCTACTTTTCAAATAGTTCAGGGTGCAGCAACTAATTGGGACTTTATTAAGTTTTGCTTTCATAATTTTTTATTAAAATATTAGTAAAAAATATATATTTTTTTAAAGGTTTATATTTTTATTAAAGGACTTCACCTGAAAAACTTCCATTCAATATAACCTATTTCAGTCTCATTTATATCCTCTATTATAGACGTGAGTCAAGAACATATTATCTTTGTTTGTTTCCTCTCCATTTCCTGAAATGCTTTTAATGCATTCAGTTAGGTGCCTTAACATTTTACTGTGTCTCACTACAATGTTCCAAATATAACATTGTCCAGTGTGTTTAGATCAACAGACTATGCTCCAAACATAACTATCCAATTTCAAACAAAGCACGTCAATTGTCAGAAAGTCAATTTTGCACCAGATGTACAGAGAGAGCAGGAGCACCATCATGCTGAAGTGCAGGTTTGTCTACCAGAAGTCACTTTTTCCATCCAAGATCTCACCACAGTCAATAACACTTGCAGATGAACTTTTGTTTTGATATTTTCTCTTGCTATACTTTGAACATTTAAGCCAGTTTTCAGTGCAATTTCACAGAATCCTTTAAAATTATTTTTTGAGCCTCTTTCACTGTTTCTGGGGTCCTTGACCAATTTTCGAGCTCTACATGCTTTATATGCCAAAATATTCTTGAAATGCAATATACTGTTGATTTTTCCTAATCAGACACATTTTAGATTTCAACTGACATTCAACCACTGCCAAAACTAATGATAATAAAAAATCTATAGAGATGTAGGATTTGGTGCTTACATCTGATTAACCAATGATATGGAGCTCACCATTGCAGTCGGAGTCAACAGGAAATTCAAATTTAAACTGATCCCAATGTAGCTGCTGCACTTATACATTTTTGGCCAAAAAACAACAACAACAAAAATTGAGACCCATAGTATAATTATTTTCAGTAAACAAACACCAAAGCAAATTTTCCAAACAAATACTTTGTTAGTATGAGGGTAAAGAATGTTATGGTATTAAATTCCTGATCACCACCACAATTGAAAGTGTTTAAGTGGTTAAGTCAAAATGTAGATGATGGTTAGATTTTAAATTTAATTTAAAAGATCATTATTTTATATCTTTACAACAAATAGACACAACACAATCTAATACTTCTTTAATACTTGTAAGTTTACCAGACAATATTGCCTTTAAATGTAATTAACTGTCTTATCTCAAGAATGAATCTTCAATAATCTCTCACCAACAGATGAGAAAATAAGAAAAATAATTAAAACTCAAAATGCAAACTAAAATTGATAAAGTTACAAAAAACTTCGTTCCCATAGAAGAAAACAGAATGAAATGGAAAAGAGATTCAACCCAATATACAATAGCCTATAATACAATCTTTCTTTTTACACCAGAGATATATTTTTTTTAAATACATTGTGCTTATGACTAACATATCCAATCTTCATGCTTAACAGAGCATTCTCTTACCCCATGCCTTCATTCATAGAAGTTTAATTCACAGTCACCCTTTTGAACAATGCAGAATCCAAAAAATTATTTCTTTTCTTTGCATTTCAAAAGCTGAAGTTCCCACAAAACAGAGCAGATGCAAAGAAAGTTAATGCCACCCAAGGAAGGACAAACTAGAAAAATGTGTCAACAACCCTGTCAAAGAATACCTACAAAATATTTCAGAGGATTTCCTCTCATTGCCAAAATTCTTTCCTAGATTAACTTGTCAAACCAAGTCATTATTCAGGGTGTATTCTCAGAGATTTGGCAGTTTTTCAAGATTAAAAAAAAATTCCCGCTAATTTACATTATTGGCTGCGCCACAATCCTTAACAACCAATAACAAAGACAATGATAAAAACAAAGAAGAAACACAGCAGCTCAAAAATTATTATCATAAATATACTTACATCCCTCGTGACGTATTTACCCGAATATATGGCAACATATTAGATTTTTGTCACTACCTTCTTCATCTTCACATGTATTAGTCTTTCTTTCTGGCTCTTATTTTAGGGTGTCCTCTGTCTTAGAGTTACAATACTTATTAGCCCCTCTGACCCTCAAAGTTTTGAATTTTGTATTTCCATTCATCTCATCTGACATCACCTAGAACATTCCCAGATTTTCTTCCTGACACACACTTGTCCATGGACATTGATTTTTTAACTTTAAATTCACGTGATCCATTTGCAAGCCCATACATCTCAATACATCCAATCCCTGGGAATGTAAACAAAGTTTGGAAATTTTTATCTAAGATTCTTTTTATTATTCCGTCTCTGTGGTTGGATGTAAAATGCATACTTCTATTAATGTAATTTTTTTTTCATTTCCATCTCTTGCAAAACACAGAAAACTCCCCAGGTATCAAACAACACGTCCGTGCGGCCTCATCCATTAGCAAGCGCATTGTGTAACAAAATCTCAGCAACAATTTTTTTTTTTTTCCCCATTACGTTTCCCTTACTACAATGCCATTCTTTGAGATTCTCCTTTTACTGGCCATTCTAAAATATTCATCAAATCCACAGTGGATGCCGAGAATGTGGTATATAACTAGATATTATAGATACATGTGATATTTATTGCCTTTGCATCTTTTCATTACATCAGCATTTGAGTTTCTTGAGAAGGGAAGGTAGTGTAAAAACATAGATTCCAACTGATTAGGCTTAATACAAGATGACCCTTTTTTTTAATGAGATATTAAAGAAAACAAATTTTCTTATATTCGGGTAAGTATACTACTTGCTGTAACCATGAAAAACAGCTAAAAAATCACACTTAACCAGTGAACACCCATTAGTTACAATATTGTCCCCTTACCTCAACTAACACTAAAAGAAAGTATGTTATAGGATTAATGTCCTCAAAGTATTAATTACTGAATCAAATGTTTGAGCTATGTGTTAAAACAGTGATTTTAATTGTATAAATTTAGGTTTAATATTAATGATTTGATTTCCTTCTAAGTTTATGTTTGCTTTTAAATAAAAAACAAGAATACAAAAAAACTAAATAGTGTTAATTATTGTATACAAAAGGTTGAGATTTCTCCCAGGATAGCACCTCTTCTCGTTCAGGTTAATTGGTTTTTCATCTTCCCTGGGTTCTTCATTTGGGAACTGGTTGAGTGTATCTCTATCATAGGAAGCACTTAACCTGTAATTAACGATTTAACCTGTTTCCTCATCAATATATATTTCAGCACTTTTTACCAGAAATTTTGAAAATTAGAAATTGATAAAATATAATAAAAACAAGAATCTATCCGTCAGTTTATAGATCCAAAATTTCATAAATTTTGCAAAATGTTATACAGTACATATAAATGCAATATTTACGGAAAAATAAAAGATAAGGACATTCATTACACTTTTTAAATTTCCCTCTCTTACTTTTCTTTAATTCGCATTCTTTTTTAAAAAAAAAAAAGTCATTTACTTTTAATTCCTCAGAAATTTTCCAATTTTTTATTCTCCTCTTTTAGTTCAAAGAGAATCAAACCTAATACTTTATAATATCAGAAATATAAATAATTAGAGTTTGCTTCTATGTCCACCTGTGTATGTAGCAGACTGCAAGTAAAGTGACACATTACAGACTTGAGTATCATTTCGACCTTCCGTCCACTTCACCATTTTGTTTTCATGCAATTTGGCTTCTGATAATACAGGATCAGGATACAGTTAAGGACAAAAGATCTCAAATTATCAGTTGAAACTATGAGACTATTAAAGAAATGCATTTATAAAAACTGAGAAAAAAAAGTTTTGAAAACAATGAGATCTACTACACTTCAATTAATTAAAAATTAATTAACAATAGTTGGGGGGGGATCATTTAGTGAAGTAATCATTGATGTTCAATTCAAAAAGTGAGTAAGTAGCAGTAAGTCAAATGTTTATAAATTTTCAATGAAAAAATATTATACTGATAAAACTTCCAAAAGAAGTTGTGGGAATATTGATGATGTGGTGTTGACATTATTAAAGGATGAAATAATTGAAGTTTTCTTTGGCAACTTCAAAAACTTAAACTTTGCCTAATTTGGCAAAGATTCCTTTTAATTATTTCATCCTTCTATAGGTAACTCCAAAAGAAAAGAATGCACAAAAAATATTTAGTCCCATTCTATAAAGAAAAACTTCAGACTTAAGGGAATGAAAAGGAAATAGAAATGTATCTTTAACCTTTCCTGACATTATTCATTGGCCCCAATCCATGCAATAGAGTTATCATTCCCTAATCTTTGATTTTGAAATATTTGATGCATTACGCCAAGAGAAATAACACTATTTTTAATTTTCCACAGAATGTGAAAGCCGAACTGCACAATAATAATAATAATAATAATAATACATCTGAAAAAAAATTGTTTGCAAATAATACTCAACCTCCTTGTAACAGTTACAAGACAATGCATAATACAAAATTATTCAACCTAACATGTCAACCACCATATTTACTTCTGCTTAACATCCCTCTGTACCAGAACTTGAATCCAAATATAAAGCCATTTTAATGTAAGTTTTATTTTTTGCAAGTACCTGAAATAGTTGAAATAAGGATGCGAATTTTAATTTTTCAAAAGAAAGACCACAGATTTAATGCAATCATGAAGTTTTACATTTCATGTGCAATTAAGTATTATTGTGTTGTCTTCAATTTCTATGAAATAGCTGGGTTATTTCAAGAATGTACCTCTTAAATCTTCAAGCAATATCAGAAACAAACTTCATTCCAATGGTTTAGGTTAAGTTCAATGAAAAAATTTTGTACTTTACAAACATCAAAAATCATAGTTGGAGAAAAACCCTGAATCACACAACTCATTGTGATTTTTATTATAAGACAAAACATTTCAGAAAAAAGTCAGTCATTGAGAAAATGACAGTACATCACAACATTGTTAAAAAACAACTCTTGCAAAATATTAAATCAAATTAAAATAATCCTTAGTTTTCAAGTTCAAAAAAACCAAATTCGGTTAGAATTAAACAAAAGCAAAAAGGGGTGGCCATGTTAGGATACACAAATGAAATATTATCAACAGCCATGGAGACAAGTGAGTGTCTGCAATGTGCACCCTCGACCTGCAGCAGGCAACGGTGAGGGAAGGATTGGAGGGCCACAGCGTGCGCCATGCAAAACGTCCAAACAGAAGCACAACTCTCTCTTTTGCTTTTGCTCTCTCTCGGTCCTCAACAGAGCACTTTACCTTAAGGCAGCACGCGCAGCACACAGAGTGCGCGAGAGGCAGGTCAGGGGAAGAGGTTGGGGGAGGCACCTAGTACAGAGAAAAAAAGCAGTCAACCTCTCCGTTGCTTGCTTTCTGTACATCCACTTCAATTAGTAAAATCTCACATTAGTTACTTTCTTAGAGTTATGTTAATATGATTTTTTAAAGACTGTTTGAAAAAAAGAGTTATTATTTCACCTTTCTTAATGGTATCCATTTATAATACACTACTGAATTTGAAGTAGATTCCTTTGCTAGCATCTTTCTGTAACTTGCAATCAGTGAAAACTATCACAAATTCACAAATTGATGAGGTTTGTTTTCCTAATGAAGACAATAAAATAAAAATATCCTCCCAGCCAAATGTTTATTTACTAAAATATCAAAAATAATTATTGTTGTGTTTGGTTTCAAATCTGATATGAATACATGAATTTTTATTTCATTGAATGGGTTTTCTATTGTCCTCATAACTGTGTTACGACTTCTTTCTTCTTCAAATATTTTTCACTCTGTGCTTCAATTTGTTCAGTTGTAGAAAAAATGCTTCACATACATCCAAAATTTAAAAAAAAGAAGAAGAAGAATATAAGATGAATAAGGAATATGACTTATTTTTAATCAAATTTTTAATTGAATCTGTTTTCATTATTGACATTTTTTTCATTTACAGTTTATGGAATTAATAAGACATGAACTTATATTTTGAAACTGTGAATCATTGTTGTGTATAATTATTGATAAAAATAATTGATTTAAAAAATTGACAAGTGAATTTTTCATTTTAACAAGCGTTGATTAACTTATGACACTTGTTTATATTATTATAAGATGTTGACTCTTTTTAAACAAACTTTATCTACCTTTACAATATTAGTACTGAAGTGAAATATAACTGAAATATTTAATATTTCACTTTTATTTATGTTAAATCATAATAAATTATAAATTCTAATTGCCTCATATCAATTTGTGAAAACAAATACTGTATTAAGGGAGAGAATTTTCAAAATACTGATAGTTAAAATACTATACCACGAAATTTATTCTCAATTTCACTGGCACCTTTATCTAACAAATGTGATTTGCAAACTTTTATATCTTGCTTTGTCTGGTTACATCAACTAATAATCCTATTTTTTTTACCAACAGTTCAACAAGTGTTATCAATAAATGGCTATTATGCATTTTCTTTTGAGTAAGTTATTAATTAATGGTATGTTAGGTCTAAAAAAAAATCCAAATTGGGAAAATTGTTATGAACACTAAATAAAGATTTTTTTAAATTTAAATTTTAAAAAAATAATTCAGTTAAAAATGATAATATAAATCAATTGGATAAAATCATTGATACACAAAATTATTCTCTTCATCTTTCAAGAGCAATTTCTTTAATCTTCCACTGAATTGTACATCAAATAATTAAATTTTTAAGAAAATAAATAAAAACAGAGCAAGCAAAATAAATTCATATTTTATCAATGAATATTTTATGTCAATCCATTATCGGAAGAAAACACACTAAACAGATCAACTTTAAAATATTAGTATGAAAACATTAGCAGTTCAAAAATTGTTTCCACCTCAAAGCAAAAGCCTATTTAAAATGCTAAAGTATATTCATAAAAGCAATGAAGTATAAAATAATTTGAATGTTAAAAAATTCAAACTGTTGTAAACATTTCTTTTCAATTACAAATGCTTATTTATTAATGCCTGAAACATAATTAAATATCCAATATCCTTGATTTCCAAACTTTTTTTAAAGTAAATTTATGTATTTATTTTATCTTCATTTATATGCTTACAACTTTCAGAGCTCAAACAACATTTTTCTAAAGTTCATCTTAATACTACATTAGTATTACTGTAAAAATAAGTATTTTAATTGTTCAGATTCCTCCAACAGATGCCCACAAGTAAACGACCACATTCTAAAATTTAGAGCTCTCTAGAACCACTCTAAAATAACAAGATCTTTGTTGAGGCTAGGAAGCAATAATACAATCTTTTTCAATTCAATTATTTTTAAGGAGACCCAAAACTTTCAATATTTTGCATCTTCACATTTACAATTTGTGAAGACAATAATAGTTATTAAAAATAAAAATAAAAAATAAAGATACCTTGCATCTGGTATTTCATTCATTTAATTCATTTTCGAATTCACATCATCCAACAATCATACTTATACTACTCAAAATGCCACTCACCTGCTGCCGAAGATCTTCCCGTTCACGTCGTGCTTCCTCTGCCAGACGATCCCCCTCGCGGCAGATCTCATCCAGGAGCCGCAGCTGCTGGGCCTCTTGGGGGCTAGAGGGACGACCTTCTGCCAACATGGAGCGCGCTGAAAAAATAAGCAGATTGCTACAGCACATAACTCACAGTCGTGAAGAAGACTTACAGCTTGTACAAACTGTAAAGATATTAACTACATAAGAAAGCAAACACTTCATATCAGCTTAACTAAACTACAATATTTAATTTTTGTTGAAGTTTAATTTCAATTAAACAATGCAGTACCTTAGAACTACATTTCATGAGGTGATGATTATGTATCATTTGGACAAGTACAATTATACAGAGCAGAAATACATTAAAATTTATTTCAACATTTACATGAAATAAATAGTAATAAAATGTTAAAACTTTTAATTTCAAAATTACAATATTCAATTCCTTGAATTTCCATATTTAAAAAAAAAATTATTTTCAATGAAAAAACTTAGCAAACATTCTGAAACTCTTTCATGAACAATGCACTTTGTCATTAAGGCTGCAGCTCAGGCAGAGAACCTTACAATGCTACTTCCACAAGTCTACCTAGGGAAAAGAGATTTTACAAAATTAAGTCATGTGGCCAAGTTAAGAATCAGAACACAAGTTTTTTTAAAACACAAATAGCACTCTGTAAATGCACATTTTGACAATTGGCTTAGTTACATTGTAAGTTAACATTTCCTTCATTTAGTGAATACAAATGTGACAGAGTGATAATGATTTATCAGATGGTGCAACACTTATTTCACCATGTTGTCTTTCTATTATATTAATAAAAATCAGAAAATCAATTAATTCAAAAATCTTTGATTTCACATATTTTATGACTGAAGTCCATCAGTACATATTTTTTTAACTATTCTTCAATAATATTAGCATAGTATATAACATTTCTTTTACAAGTTACCAAACTGATTTGTTTGGTATATTTAAGATGTCACAAATATTTTGCTTAATGAGAACAATTGTTTAATTGTACTAATATGTGGAGTTTACTGTGATCTGATTACCACAATGGAAATCGTTCATGAAAAGGAAGTTAAGTCATAAAAGATTTTTTGAAGAAAAGTACAAATAAAATTTCATTGTAAAGCCGAGAATATTTCAAAAACATTAAATTCACAACATTTTAATAGTAGATTTGTCAAATAGATTGTGGATTTCCTCCTGTGTAACTCGTTATGCAACACCATTCCACCTTCGAACACCATCGAACACCCTGCGTACCCTTGTCTTGCAGCTGCGAGAGGCTCTGCAGGCGTAGCCCCAAGGCAGCCCCTTGCTGCGAGGACGACGGCTGCTCCCCAAAGCCTTCCGCCACTTCTTCCGAGCGCACCCCCAGGCGCCGCTCCGTCTCCAGGTGGGCAATGCGCTGTTTGGCAGCTGTCAGCGCTTGGGCCATGGCCTCTATTTGCCCTCCCTCGATCCGGGTGTTTTGGACGGGAGTGGACGGCGTGCTGTCCATAGCCCATTGCCCACCTGCCAGTGGATTCTCCATCAACGCAGCTGCCTCTGCTCGTAAGTGCTCCAAACAAACGTCCAACTCTGCTCGCAACTTTCCAGACAGGTCCTAAAACCCAACAGCTTAAATCAGGTCACCAACAACTATATTCAAAATGGAAATACCTAATAAGAAAATTACTTAATTTTACAATCATAATGACATGAGTAAATAGTTTAATAACCAAAAATCATCAAATAAGGATAATAATTAAGTAAATTTGATCATTTCATAACCTTCCCCAACCCAGTATGGGGAGCTCAAGGCCATTCCAAGCTCATTCCAAATAACTGGCATCTGCCAGCAGAAAGGCCACCTTCCAGAGGATAAAACATGGTTGACAACCCTAATTACATAATGATTTTCAGTATCATCGTGTGAAATCACTTGCCATCCCTGATTTATTAATGATATACGAACTACATTCAAGGCATATATTTGATGAGCAATAATTTAGTCAAAGCCAAAGGTGTATGACACATTGAAATCATTCAGATTCTAGAACTTGGTAGTAAAAGATAAGTTGTGACTTAAGACTTTCACCTCTAAATTATTCTCCTTCAAATAAAGTACAGCTCAGACATATAATATAAACATTAAACATTCAGTTCATCCACTTTTCCAATTTTGTCATGAATATTTTCACCTGATAATAAGGATATGAGCATAAAATCCTTTGCAGCGATTGGAGAGCACTGAATATTACCTTTTCAGTCCGAGAAACCTTCACTGGTAACATATTGTATTACACTATTTCTGACCTCTTTAGATACATTCATTAAGATCAACAAATTCTACTATATGATTACTGTCATATGAATCTTATTTACCCATTATACTACATGACTGTTACAAATAAATAAACAAAACTAAAACAAAACAAATAACTGTTCTTCAAAACATACCATATTTAATGACACGCCCACCCACAAAACCTGCTTTTGCCTTCACTTACTTCGTCCTCTCGAATGATGTCCAGTAACATCTGATCGTCGTTACCAACCAGGTCCTTGAAGTTAAAGCTGGTGGGTGCGAATCGCACTCTCTTGGGCGTGCGCTTGGGTGTGGCCATTGCCGGGCCAGAGTTGGTAGGGCCCACTTCCTCTGCCATTGGAGGGCCTGCCAGTGACCACTTCTCTTCCTGCACAACTCCCCCTTCACTCAAAAACGTCTGGTTCACCTCGTCTTCACACTCCGAGAGATACGTCAGCAGCTCCTCCACAAGCTTTTTCAGTACAAGCCCTACACGCCGCCAGTGATCCCTGCAGCAATAAGAAAGAAATAATTCAATGCGTCTTGAGCAACCCAATACAGTAGAACCCCGTTCCTGGATCAATTGGAGCCAGGACTGATTCAAGTTATCCAGAGAGAAAAAATCCAAGTTGTCCAGAGAGTGAGGGAAAAACAATTAAAAAAAGAACATGGACTCACCAAACATTAAATGGAGTCTAAAAATTGTTGGCACACTTTCACTTAAAACGGGTCTGGGTCATCTGGACACCTGGCTCAATGAGGTTCTACTGTACTACAGAAGATACCCTCGGGAGGGCATCTTCATGTTGCTAAGATAGGTAGTCTTTATATTTCACTTCCAAGACCGTGTAAGTAAGTCTACCAATAGAAAACTCACGTTGAAAAATACAACAACAAAGAACATGGACAAGCAAATATTCTAGCTATAAACTGAGATTTGAATTTGACTTATCCTGAATCTTTACTATTAAACAAACCTGTAATTCTAAAAGTCATAAGTCAAAGTGTAAGTTTTAATTCATTGAAAAGTTCCAGTACTGTTCACTTATAGAAAGTACGTAAATTGTATTAGTGTTCAGAGAGCCCATCAGCAAAAGCCCATCAAAGTTAAAATTAAATTTTTGCACTCACCTTTCTTGAATTAATGCAGCAAATTTATCAGGAGATATAAGTTCATCATTGCAATCATCCTAGAAAAAATAATACACAATAATTCAGAATCATTGAAATAGACTAACTTAAACTCAATAGTCCTTTGGACAAGGATGAAAGTTCCATTCCATTCAATAAATGAAATTTTATAAATCATATCAGTACACCCAACACAAATTCAACATGTAAAAACTTGTAATAACAATAAAACAATAAAATGGATGTTGCAAATCTGAGACTACACAGAAAAATTCAACATCAAGATGTCTTTAATGTTTGGTTTACAAATATTTTTGTTACAGTTCTAAGATTAAGAAAAAATTTCAATTATTTAAGCATAAATTATTTCCAAGTTGTTACTTACCCATTAATTTCAACAGTTTTTCCCTTTATTAAACCAATGACATATTATCTAGTCTCTTAATTGTGAAACAGAACAAGGATACTAAGGTAAGAAATCATGAGTAAGACTAATGTTTCACAAGAGAGAGAGCACCTCCAAATGCAAGGCAAAGATGAGCCCAAATGATAAGAGGCCACCCTGAATGAGGAGTCAGTGAATCAGCAGAGGTCAAATTCCACCCTGACATCTGAGGGGATGAATCAATACAAGTCTAACAATGGCTTTCTCACAAAATATGAAGTGTGGATCAGCTCCTAAGAAATTCAAGTCCTGTCCTTACTCCGAGAATGCACTGAAAGCCCCAGATTCTGGATCAATCATATGAAAGTGGCTAATCATCAAAGAAACAAAAAAGGCCAGAATCAAAATTCAACAGGTAAGAAATACATATAAAATTAACTTCCTAGATCACAAAACAAAATTTATTTCTGAATGATGCACAGAACAGACTCACCAATATGAAAAATTACTGATATAGAATATTCTTTAATTTATTTTTAATTTTTTTTGTGCTCTAATTGAAATATGGCCTATATTCAGTCATTACAATAACTAAATAATGTGTTGTTTTTCTCTACTCTTAACCATTGATAATTGTTTTTACAATTATAGGTTGAAGTTTTCAATTATTTAGGACAAACAATTAAATATGAAAAATATACATTTAACCACTTATGAAGGAGTTACAATTATACTGTTTCGTTTCCTACATGAATGGTTAAATATATATTTTTCATATTTAATTGATTGTCCTAAAAAATTGGAAACCTTCAATCAATAAACATAACAAAATGTTTTATTAAATTATTTATTGTCAGCAAAACAGAGTTAAGGTAACAGAACGGTATATCTTGGGAACCCTCAGAGAAGAGGAAGAATAGCCAGGGCAAGAGTTAAACTAGAAGTCCAAAAGTTTAAAATGTCCAGCAACCTAATAAATAAATAAATAAAATATTGCTATCAAAATATGAAATGAAAACTCTTACTTGAATGTTGTAAGGTGATCTGGAGGATGATCTTTGCCTTTGTAAAGCTGCCTGCAAGTTACTGATTTCAGATAAATGTATCGACTCCAGGTTGGATAAAACAGATTTGAATTTAGAACCACAATCTATAACAGAACAAGAATCATGCCAATTAAAGTGAACATTACACATTACATTTTACTATAAGCAACTTGCAAAAAATAGAATTTTCAAAATTGTTCAGGAGAAAAACATTCGGAATATATCACTCACCTAAAACATATTCTCGAGTCAGAAATTTTGCATCACTTTCTCCAAGAATCTGCCCATTTTTCATCTTCTGATAGAGTCTCAACCATTCCAGCAACATAGCTTCTAGGTGGTTAACATATTCAGACTGTATGTTCATCAAGGTCCTCCTGAAGTCAGCTCCCTCCTGTTCGTCTTCTGCCCCATCTTCTGGGGCTGGCTCCATAAGGCTCACGACATCGGACAGCAATGACAGTGAGTTTCCGTCAAAAGGTTGGGCCCGAAGGCGATCAGTGCTGCTGACATCCAGAAGGGCAGGAGAGCCCTTCCTGGGGCTGGTTTGCACCTCTTGGGAAGCCATCAACACATTTGCCGGCTCTGGCTCCTCCGTTTGGACTTGTTTGTGTAGCTTGACAAAGTGTTTTGGAGAGACTGCTGCATCTGTTCTGTTTGGTGTCTTTGGCTGATCAGTTTGAGAGGTCTCATGACGCCTCATGAGAGACAGGGTATCCGTCTGCGTCATCCCAATAGTTCTGTCACCTCCTCTGACTTTGGAAAGTTCTGCACGGTGTTGCTGTTTAAGACTTTCCAAGTCGTAGCGATGCTGTTCCAGAAATTCTTTCATCATCTGATTCTGGTTCTCAATAAACATGTTCTGTGAAAAGACACCAAAGTTTATTACCATACTTTCAATTGTGGCAACATTACATATTCACAAGTAATTCTTTTCTTATACATTATTTAGATTATACACCAATTTTAAATTATTATTCAATAACATAAAGGATAATAGAAAATGTTAAGAATTACACTACTTGCATTTAACCCTTTATTAGTTAAAAAGAGTTGCAGAAGAATTAATAACTAGATTGAAAATTGTATTGTAAATTTTTATTGTAAACACTAAATCTTTCCCCTTTATTTTCACCTTCATTGCAGATCCTAGCAAAGACATTTGTGTTTTCCGTAAAATCAAGGACTAGAAAAACCTGTCAAAATCTAACAAATTCAAATCTAAACTACTTTTAACAAATCCTTTGTTACAAACACAATTATGAAAATGGTGTTCAACAGAAACTGTCGATAGTGTAAACTAACTATTATCACACAAAACCAAAAAACTTCCACAGAGCATTTAAAATCTGACCACCAAACCACAAAAAAACTAGTGGTGTTGAAATACCATGCCAAAGTAGCAAAATTACGCTTAAAGTACTCAAATTTTCGAAAAATTGTACACAACCTTATTTTAAAATCTATCTTCAAGAAACAGATTTCATTAAGGGAAAAATCTCTATCTTTGTAATTGTAGTTGTTGGAAGAAATCGAAAAAAATTTTAATTTTTCCAATTTTCAAAAAATCACTTTATAAGAACATGAGACCTGCAGCATTCTTTTAAATGTCCTCCACACTAACCAACAACAAAATTTAATCAATGACAAAGCCATTTCTTGAAAATTTTGAAAATGTCCCATGGGCTTCATGTAAAGTAACTCCCCAAAATTAAAATATCGATTGGTGAAAATCATTAATTGGATTGTTGGTGAAGTAGATACCTTTTTTTTTTTTTTTTTTTTTTTTTTTTTTATTTTGATCAATAAATAGAGATATTGTCAGGTATCAATATTTTAATTCCACTGCAGGCAGAACTTTGTTTTCGGCCCAGAAGCTACAAGCTCTGAGGATGATCGCTACGCGATCGAAAGATCATTAGTGGAATTAAAATATTGATACCTGGTGAAAATCAATTTTGGAGAAAATCAGCTGAACGGTTTAACAGCTAGCATTGTTTACAGACAGACAGATGTTTTAGTGTCATTTGATTTTTCGGTGTCAAGGACTTACAAAACATGGATTTGGGCTACACCACCTGTTAGAGGATCTTCTAAATTTAGTAACTGTTTTTCTTCACTTTTTCGTTACTAGGTTCCTATAATAAGAGTTTTTCTGCCACAAATTCGCCGTTTTTACACGCAGCATTACATAACTTTCTACTGCAGACCTGGTAGCAAGAAAGTAAAAGGAGGAAATCATTACCTGCTCCTGTTCAGCATTGGCCTTCATCATGGCAGACACTTTCTCTACTTGCTGTTCCAACTCCTGTTCCAGCTCCTGACGCACCTCCCGACGCAATTTCTCCTCCAACTGCACCTGCACAACACAAGGTACGTCGTGGTAGGTTCAAGGTACCACACAGTTCAAGGTCCCAAAAAGTTTACTGTCATGAAGTGTGGTATTTGGCACCACCAGGATTCAAACCCAATGCAATAATGTTATAACTGTGTTATATTATAACCCAGCTTTCAATGATCTGGAATTTACGTTTTCCCAAAGTTTACATAGATTTTTCCTGGTCCCTCCAATTTTCTTCTTCAGTTTTCTCATTCTTTGCACAACTCTCTCACTTTACACAATTAAATCCTCCATTTGCACTTTTTTAAGCAATCGCAGATCTGTGAATGCTGTTCTTTCTTATGCTAATTTATATGTATATTCTTTCACAATGAGATTTATTTCATTGACTATGAATTCAGATCTAGTATGAAGTTAAGAATTAATGAAGTTATAGTGTAGTGTACTTTAGTCGCTGTATCATTGTGATAACTATCAAACCCAAGTACAGAACAGTTGTATGTATGTTTTGTGCTATTTTAAATACATTTAGTGTCCAACAATTAGTATTTTGTAGTGAAAAAATGACCGAAATACAACAATTACTTAATGAAGGTTAATAATATTAATAAAAGTGAAATGGAAATGTTCTGTTTTTTATTACTAGTGTAAAAATATTTGCCCCCCATTTAAACTTTCCAGTGATTTACACTATTTTTTTTTTTCTTAATTCCTTGAAAAATGAAAAAGACTACTGTATTTCATTCAACCAGGGACCTTCCACTGACCAGTCGATTGCTCCTGCAGATGCTCAATGGAAGGTATTGGGTTCAGTTCTTAGTGAAGTCAAATGTTGCACTACTAACAAACCTGTTTGACTCTATGGTTGGCTAAAACATGCATTTAATTTCATTCATATATCAATATATAACATACCAGGACACAGGTAATGGCCCACACAAAAGAAACAACTAAATGCTGGATCACTAAAATTATAAATTACACAACTGTGGCAAAATTGAGAGATAGAAGAATATTTACCTTTAATTATTACACATTACATTTATTCAGTGGGAAAAATGTAATGAAATGAAGATTGGTTAATATATTGAAAATAATTATTATTTCTAAATATCTCTTTCTACTCAAAGGAAATTTGTTCAGACAATCTCTAACAGTTTTCCCCTTCAAACAATTCCATCGCACTGCAAAGAGTGAGGCAGTTTTTCTTCTTGGAGATTCCCCATTTATGAATATCCTATCCTTCAACCTTCATCAATCAATCCAGCAACTACACTAGCTTATTCTATTTCTCATCAACTTAATAAGTGCCAATACAGAAAGTAGTAAGATGAAGTGTTAGCTAATTAGATTTAAGTAATGAAATCAAAGTGGACAGTGTTGAAATTGTGAGTGACAAAGTGAAGTGTTACTTATTGTGTGTAAATAGCATTTACATTTCCTTATTTTTGTATGTAAATAGCATATGAACAAGGAAGTTTCCGAATTGTGTGCTCGGGAATTCTACTATTATGTAACCCACCCTACAATCAGAGGCCCTTGCCCTCTATGGGATTGTAACGGGCTACAATAATAATAGTAATAACAATGATAATAATGATGATGATGATGATGATAATAATGATAATAAGGATGATGATGATGATGATGATGATGATGATGATAATAATAATAATAATAATAATAATAATAATAATAACAATAATAATAATAACAATAATAATAATACTCCTTCAATCATGCATTTTAAAACCCACGTTAATTGAAAGGATAATGAAAGCACTACTAACCTTATTGAGTACCTGTTCGACAGACTGAGTACTGGCTTCTTCAAGTGCAAACTCTGTGTGAGCTTCTTTCACCTTCTGCAATTGTTGCTTCTGTTTCAGAAGACACTGTCTGCATGTTGCCTCTAGCTGCCTCAATTGAGAACTCAACTCAATGCACAAATCCTCCAATGTTTCCTGATCTTGTGCATCATTTTCTACAAGATTACTAATGGACTCAAAGGATTCTGCTTTCCCATCCAGTGACTCCTAAAACAAAAAAACAAAAAAGACAAAACTTTAAGCAGACAGCTCTTTCATCATAATTCTAAAATATTAAAAGGCTATTTGAAAAAGTTCATCATCATCATCATTATTCATCATAATAATTACAGCAGTTTAAAAACAACATGACAAGACCCAAAATGAATAAAAATTGTTTTTTTTCCAATTTTTGTTCATTAGACCAACTTTTATGAATAGAAGTTGGTTTACACCATTAATGCACATTTCCCAGACCCATATGCCTGTCACCACGATTTTCAGATCCATTAACAATTTTGTGCTGATTTTGGAGTTCACAAATTACAAAAGTTACAATTTTGTTTTCTAAATGATATTTTCACATTATAATGTTAGTGAATGCTTTACTTCTCTTGTAACTTCTATAAGTATATGAAGCATTGGCCGATCCGGTGGCCGAGATCGCTAAGGCAGTAGTGCCGTAGCGATCTTGTACCGAAAGATCGCGGGTTCGAGTCCCACCTCGGGCATGTTTTGTGCTTTCACCCCCTATCATCCATCATCCTCCATCTCTCATTATCACCTTTCTGAATAACATTCAGAATTGTAACTCGAGGATTTATCCTCACCTCAAGGTGATACCTTCAACAGTCGACCATGAACTGTAAAAGTGAAGTGGAACGACTCATGTGGTCCAATGTGGCCAATCAAGTTAATAATAATATGAAGCATTGAGGAGAGTACAGACATAAGCAACAATTTTGAAAGAAATTATTTTTCACATAAATCAATCAGAAACTCCTCTCCACATAGTATGATGATTAGGAAATAAGGATCTTCTCATACTAACATATCCAGTTCCATCTATGTAAACTTTGATTTTGCTCTCCCACAAAATTTCATTCCTAGACTTTGGCCTTTCCATTTTCAATCTGACTGTTTCATGTGTATCACATTTGGTACGCATATTCAACTATTTAGTCCATAAATTTGATAAAAATACAAATAAATATTTTTTGGGCTCAACGAACGTATTTGAGAAACAAATAACCCCACTTTTGCCAAGGTCCTATAAGAGAGTATGATTCTCTTGACCCTCTTCGCATTTGCCCACCCCCTTTTTTTATCCCAATTTCATTTACACGGTTTGGTAAGCATTTTCTAGAAAACACGTCATCTGCACAGCCACATCTTTACACCACAACACCTTTCTACTACATAAAATTAAAAAGTTCTACAAGTTTGTTTTTTTCAAAATGAAATTAATTTAATGAAAATTACTAAATATCAAGAAAAATTCTGAGGATGTAACTTCACAGTAGAGTACTATAGCATGTTGAGAATTTCTGAAACTACTCCAACAAGTGGAAGATTGCCCATCTTTTTCTAACAGTACCTTCAAACTTGATTCATTTAATTCCCTTACCTCAGCCTGAGAATATATGGGACTGTCAGGAGAATTCTGCGATAGCAATGCCAAAAGTCGTGTCCTTGCTGCTCGTACTTCTTTGCGCCAAAGTGCCTGGAGACACTTCCCGGCACTGGCCTTAGCTACTTGCACAGCTGCCTGCTGAGCACCGCTGAGCTCCTGCGCGAGGCGGCCAAGCTTCTCTTCATACTTCTTCCTCAGAGTAGAGAGCTCCGTTTCGTAATGGGCTTCCAACTCCTTCTTAGCAGCCAGCAACTGACTGCGACTCTCTTCAACGCGCTTCTCCAGCTCCCCCTTCCAGCGCTCCTCCAGTTCCCTAAACGCGATCATACATCCACAGATTAGAAGAGCAACTACGCACATGCAGCACGCAGAGGCTGAGAGCACTTGAACATATCTGAACTTGAATGCAACGGAGGAAGTGTCCAGGAGAGAGCAATTATAGGGCTTGTACTGCAGTGAAGGGGATGGGTAAGGGGCCAGGAGTACACCAAGACACAAGCTTCACGAGGGGAAGCCAGTCTACTAAAGTTTCAGTACGCATCTTCATGGTCAAAAGATACAAATTCACTCATTGTTATATGAGATCCTTTCATTTAGTGTGAATAGTAACCATACTGTACAAATTTCATTATGAAGTTACCAATTGAGAAAGCTCATTACTGAAAGATCCACAATCCCAAAAATATTAAGCTGTTTGAGTTGCCAATAACAATGACTTTAGAATATTTCTCAACATTGTACAACACATATTGTCAGTCTTCACTTCCTTGGATGAAATTCATGTATGGACTGCGTTCCAATAAAACTATTCTATTTAGCATTCCATTTGTGAGAAAAAACTCTTTTTATTATGCCCCACTATGGAGGATGTGTTGTAGAGTACACAATGATGTGATTGATCTGTATTGCTCATTGTATAAATTTAGAAATAATGTTAGAAACCTAATATTCAATGATTTTTAATTGAAGTTTTTACTTTATGTAAATGCAATGTTAAAAACCTGATTTTAATAATTTTAATTGATGTCTTGCTTTATTAGTGTCCTACTTACTATTGGACGTTTGCCTGTGTATTGTATGTGAACAAATGAAAATAAATAAATAAACATTGTTAGCTTAAACCAAAAAATGACAATGGAATGGAAAAAAAGTATTATAGATCTTCAATGAAGAAACGCTTGCCATTATCAATCATTCCCTCCTGAAAACAATGTGACAGTCACTTTCACATCCCATATAGCAAAAATAAACTAATTGGGGTATTTCTATACTCAAGTATTTCTGTACTTTAAAGGAAACTCAGGCCTTATCCCTTCACCATAAATGAAAAACTGGCAAACCCAACAATTAAAAACACACAGGTGCCTAATGTCCAATTGTAAAATAACACACATGGCCACAATTTAATAATTACAATGCACATCTACATTCAAATTATTTTCAAAAACCTGCCATCAAATTATTTTCAAAAATATCTATTGTTTGATTTACACTTCCTGCACACACACAAAAAAACACATTATATTTCAAACTGTTCATTTCTTAACAGCAACAACACAACATGGTTTGGACAACTCACTTGTATCCAGGATCAGCAGCACAGGAATCGCAAATGTGGGTGAGTGGAGGAATGCGATTGAGAGCATGATCACCTGCACCCAACAGCGCGTCGGCTGTGAACTCACTGTCTGAATCACAACTGCTGCTAGAATGGCGACGGCTGTGCTGACTTGTGATCTCTTCTGAGTAACTGCACAAGGTAAAAGCTCATTAACCACTTAACATAAAAGCCTGAGTATTCTCAGAGTTTTAATTATTTCAAAAATATACTCAAGTTCTTAATATCAATAATTTTTAAAAAATGAAAATTTTTGGACTGCCTTTTGTTTCATAATAGATAAGTTAAGGGATTAACCAACATCTTTCTTGGTCAGTCAATACACTAAAAGAAACAACTCAAAAATCAAGTATCAGCACTGTTTATCTTCGGTAGAATGCAATAAAAAATTATTGGTGATTGAAACTTTCAGCAAGTGGTACGTATTATTTAATGCTCATTTCATGTTTGAAGATCCCTTTATTTTTTAAATTTATTTAAAAAGAATGAATACTAAGAATGTTTTAATTTTAAAAATATATTACATAAAATATATTGTAATATATGGCGGGAGTGAAGGTAAAAGAGGATAAGTCAATTGTTAGTCCAGAACGTGTATGCTACAACATTGCTTTACTACAATACTATCATTGCGTCTAGGGGGATAAGTGACATTTCAATTTTGACATTAAACTTTATTGACAAAATTCACTTATTGACAAACGTCACTTATCCCCATATACACAATGATTGTATTGTAATAAAGCAATGTTCTGCCATACTCGTTCTGGACTAAAACTTGAATAACCTCTTCTACACACACACCATACTAAAAAGATCAATAAAAGGAAAAAGCTTTAGAACAGAAAAAAACAGGTGAAACAGAGAACGCAAGTGGAAAGTTCAGGTAGGCAAAAAGCGAGAGGAGAAACCATAATAATGCAGAGAACATACGTTCAATAAAACATGGAAAAATATTTATTTGCATCTTGGATGGGTTCATCCACATGTGTTCCCGTGAATAGTAATATTGAAGTCATGGATTCAGAACAATTTATTTAAGTCCTAACTTTAAGGCAAACCATTTTCTTGAAAATTAACATATCATATCTGAACTGAAAATTCAGCAATTTGCACAAACTGAAATGCAACAAAATTGTTAAATGAGTAAAGGATGAATTTTATGTAACGGAAGTATAAGACTTTTTTCTTCAATTTTATTGGGCTGTCAAAAGTCAAAATTACTTTTTACGTTGTTATCAACGACCACAAATCAAAGCCAATGTATGAGATTCACATACTTCTATTTATTATTCTTTTATTCAGTGTTACATTAAAACACCGACGAAACTCATTATGAACAAACTGACAAACAAAAAAAAAGAAACTGGAAAAAACAAAAAACATATTGAAGCTAAAAGCCTAATAATTACAATAGCACACTATAGAACTGTCCCGCTGTCAAATGTTTCTTCGATCACTCGCGTACACACTTTCGAAGTTTCCGACCATCAAAGAACAAGCAATCTGCGTTGATTTCCGCGCACTTTACAGACGTTCGTGAATATATAAATCAAATTCTCCCTGCCCTCTTGTAAACAGTGTTGTAAGCTCTGGCTTGAATTTGAAAGGCAAATGAAGACCGCTACCGTCTCCGGACCTCACGGTGCTTTCGTGAAGCATGAACAGAAAGACTGTGTTCCGTAGATCTTTCCACATTTCACTTCGTCAATTTCACGCATGTTAGTACAGAACAGAATAAATGTTCTGCCACTTTAAAAAGGACGAGAAAGTAAAAAAATGTATTACATTTTAATATTTTGATTATATTTCGATAGTTTCAGGTACTCTAAAGCCCAATGGCAAAAGATCCTTGAATAAACACAGCATTCGTATAACTCACACTACTTGGTAATAAGTTTTCAATTTCTTTTCAACAATCCGTTCAGGACTTATTTATTAGAAGTCATGTTTTGTCTTCTGACTCTCTCTTTTTAACTCTCGCCGGTGGAAGCGATAAATATAACCTTTGCCCTCCACCCATTCCCGATAATGAAACAATTTTACTTTTCACTGTAGTAAGAAATCTCGTACAATACTCATCTTAAAACATCCCTTGTCAAATGCTCATAATTTCTCGGAGCATTGATCTAATGAAGCAACAACACATACTTTCTCGTATTATTTGTAACAGCTGTACAATACTGCAACTTTTGGGCCTAATATTCAGCAATAACTCCAAAAAAAGTGCAGATTCGACAAAAGTACGGTCTGCGCGCAATCCTTATTTTCAGAAAAGTCAGGCGTTTTAATAAAAGCGAATAGCAGAAACTTCAGTCTATTGTGCTCTATCCTTACAAAAAGTTTAAAGCAAAAAAAACTGGAGCCGTTTCTGAGAATTTAAAAAAAATTATTTTCTGGAAAATTGACTTGAAATTATACGAAAATTACTAATGTTTTGAAAAAAAGAAGTATAAATCACTTCAAAAGTTTTAATATTGAGGAATATAAAACAATAATAAAAAATATATATATTTTAAGCACATAGATGCAGGAGGACGATTAAAACGTTTTTAGCATTTGAAATTCCGTCATTCCTTATGCAAATCTGTTTCCATGCAAATCCGATTTGCTATTACGGCAAAAAATATAATGAACAAATTTGAAGCGAGTTTTAATGTAATTGTGAGTGCCCGACAAACGGTTTCATTCGAAACATACAGATCAGAAAGACCATCAGACAGATGGGCGGGCGGTCACACGAACGGACCATCAGATGGGCCGACGAATCAGTCAGTCAATTGGGCCAATGGATGGAGTGACGGGCGGGAGACGAACTTGACTGGTCGGACGGACGGACGGACGGACGGACGGACGGACGGACGGACGGACGGACGGACGGACGGACGGACGGATAGACCGACCGATCAAACGTCCGACCGAGCAGACCTCGAAATAAACTTCCGAGGGTTCCGGACCGCCCGGCGAGCCTATGGATAGACGTTTTTAAAAAACAGTTTTTGAATCGTGCGCGGATGTATTCATCTCAGGAATTCTTAACCCTTTCCCATACTTCATTAAAATATGAATAAAAGGCAGCAAAGAGTGTTCATAATATTTGATAACAAGACAGTTTTTATACAGTGTGAAAGGTGTTTTCCAAAAGCGGGTCGAAGATTTTTATTTGATAGTACTGCTGACAGCGTGGCTTTTTGCATCAATTATGCTCTCGGTGCAAGGCTACCTTCGCATCGTGGTACTGCAGTCAAAATATTCATACCGCAAACTGCTCTTGCACCTAGCCTAATAAGGACTCAAAAAACACAGACTCAAGAAAACGAAAATAATACATTTACATTCACCGTTTTCTTGATTTCCTCTTCACCGCCATTTATTTTATTTTACCTTACCTCCCTCTTCCTCTGGTATTGAATATGCTCCATTCCCTATTTCTTTCAGGTATTCCACTTCCGAGCTTCAGAAATTGTTTAGGTACTAAGCTGATGAAATGAGAAAAGCAAATGTTTCCTTTTCCGTTTTCTTTAACTTTTAAATAATTCACCAAAATTCTATTGCCACTGCCTCGCAACAATTTTGCCCCGCATTTCTTCGTCTCACCACCGGTGAAAAACTAAATTTTGCTTAATTGTGGTTCTAGAGATAAGACTTCATGAATTAATTCAGCATCAATAAAGTGAACAAATACAACTATTTGGTATAAACCAGACTTTTTGGAAACTCACGAATTAACCACATTTTCCACGAAAAAATGTTCATCGACAAGTTTTACACAAATATGAGAAACAAAACAACGGTGAAGATAAATTTCATTTTCCTGATCGCATTATTGTAAAAGTCGAAAGAAAACTTAACGTGAATTGATCAGAATCTGCGACATACACAAGCACATGCTAAGTACGCGTCGTTCACAAAATAACGCCACATAAATGCATGTGCAAGCATATCAGTGTTATCGAATAATGTTCCTTGCGAATCTTTAAATTCAACAACTGAATCAGTGTTACCACTTCAGCTGACCAACAATACGGATGCTATCATGTTGGATTCCTGGGTTCCGGAAAACGTGCGAGCATAATACCTACATTGTCCATTAATGTCAACCAAACACTCTATCACGAAGTTCGTAAAAGATCTTATGAACTTCATGCTCTCTTAGAATAGAACATAGAATGGTCATTCCTAAAACTGATCTGAATCTCTCACATTGGCACTACTGTTCACGCGCCATTTTAATGTTACTAATGTGCTCAACAGAATCCCTGTAAATAATATAATAAGGGTTTTAAGTAGATCTTACTCACGAGGGACGTCATTCTTTTAGGTGAATAAAGTTCTGTTAAACCTCATGTCATACACAAAACTAATTTCTAAACCAATTTATTTAATTTTTTGTTTAGTTTCAAACTCGCGTATACGACCATGCCCAACAACACAACCACCTTGAGTAGAAAAAAGGGCGTCTATTATTAATTGCTATTAATAAATACTGTAGGTGGCGACCCACGGGTGATCACTTTCAGAACTCAAGGTGGCCATGGTTACAGTTAATCTGTATTGTGCATTGAAGAAAGTAAACATATTCAAATACAGTACATGAAATTTATTACTTGGACTCAGATGATGACACACACGTTCATGATGTTTTACAAGCAGAATTTGCAGAGTCGAAAGTATTGCCTGAAAAATCCAAGCTCATTTACGAGGAAGAATACCAACATTTCTGCAGATGGAGAAACGACAAGGAAACATGATGTCTTTCAGAATAAATTTTACTTGCTTATTTTAATAAATCAAAATCCTACCAGTGGTAATCACTTTGGAGTTACGATTCTGCACAGCAACTTTACATGTTAAGGCAGCCATTGATAAGTCAAAGCCCAATCATATGTATTTCAGAAACAAAGTCCGATCATATTTATTTCAAACCTTATTAGATGATTGAATTAATATTCATCATCATCACCGACTGACCAGAAATTAGGCTTTACAGCCTGTTTCTATTGGTTTATTACAGTATTCTTGACAGATTGTTAGTCTTCCAAGTGTTTCTTCTGTTGCCACCTCTTTAGTTGTCTCCATCTCTGATCCCTATTGGTTTGTACTTCCAGATTAATTTGGGAAATCTGTTGTTTTTCATTCTCTGTAAATTATCTTTCCATCTCCTTTGAGACTGTTCTATCTCTTCTACCAAACATTTGATTTTCAATTTCTTTCTTCTGTCATTATTTCTTAGTCTGTCTCTTCTTGTGATTCCCATGAGGTGTCTTAGAAATCTCACGTGTACTGGCCGTAGTTTTTGTTTCTCTCTCTCTTTCATTGCTATCTTCATGGAATATTCTTGGGCTACTTTTGTCAATTCAAACACTGCTCTTTGTAAATTATCTTCAGAATCCATTATGATAGTTTGGTCATCAGCATACAAGATTGTAATTGTATCTATTATCTGGTCTTTTGTGATCTGTATTCCTTGTCTAACTTTCCTTCTTCAGTTTCTCACTAAGAGATGAATATATATGCTGAAGAGGATGGATGATAATCCACATCCTTGCCTTAAGCTACTATTGGTTGTTATTGCTGCCGACTTTTTTCCCTCTCTTAACAGTGTTTTAATTCTTGAGTTCTTGTAGACACTCTGTATTGCATTGAGCAACTGATTTGGAACTTTCTCTTCAACTAGTATTTCCCAGAGTTTCTGTCTATGAACTTTGTCTTAAGCCTTTTCATAATCAATAAATATTATAAAAGTTGGTAGATTCCTTTCCCTTCTTTTGTCTATTAACATCTGTAATGTAAAGATGGCATCTTAAGTGCTTCTACCCTTTCGGAATCCACACTGCTCTTCTCCCATGAAATTCTCACATATTTCATTCAGTCTGTTCCTTAGCATGTTTGCATATATCTTAGAAGCTTTTGGTAGCAATGTAATGCCCCTACAATTGTCACATATCTTCTTGTGCATGTTAATAACCAAACCCTCATACTACTCTATTGGGATTGTTTTCTCTTGCCACACTTTGTTAAAAAGTTCTAATAACATTTCTTTCAGCTCATTTCCTCATATCTTATAAGTTCTATGTTGACCTCATCTGGTTCAGGACTTTTCCTACTTTTTAATTTTTTTATAACTGCCTTGAGTGCTTCTATATTCAGTGAGTTGTCTAGTTCATCACTGTTAGAGATTTGGCTTGTTCCTTCAAGCACTTCATTGGATCCGAGAGTTGGATTGTTCCACAGGGCGGGGTAGTGTTTTATCCAATTTTCTTCTGGTATGCCATCCAATACGATTTTATCTTTTACATTCATGTGCAGTAATTTCAAAACTTTGAAGCCCATTCATTGAGGGACTGATACATCGCTTTCTGTGCCTTTAACAAATTTTCTCCAGTCCTCATTCCTGTGTATTCAGTTCACACGTCTCAATCAGTCCTCGCTCCTTAATCTTTTATATTCCATGTAGTTTTCCACAGTTCATTTTTGGAGGTATGTTTTGTATGCTTTCTTCTTTTTATTTATTATCTCTTTTAGATCATTTTCCCACATTTTTAACCATTTTCTTTTCTTCAATGGTTTATAGCCTTCGCTCTCTTTTGCTACGTCAATCATACTTTGTTTAAGTGAACTCCAAAAATGTCTCAATATTTTCTTTATCTACCTTCTGTAGTTTTTCTGTCTTTTTTCATACTGACATCTTCTAGAAGAGTACATTGATTTTGGAGGTGTTTTATAACTATTTTCCTTAGTATTTGTTTGTTGTAATGCGAGTTTAATTTTGCTCTCTACCAAATAGTGGTCTGCGCCTATTTCACAACCTTGAAACACTTTAGGGTTCTTGACATAATCAAATAAGTTTCTGCTTACTATTACATAGTCTAGGATGGATTTTGTATCTCTTCCTTCCCAAGTGAATTTGTGGATTTCTTTATCTTTGAAAATCTATTTGTTATCATTAAGTTGATGAACAGGCGAAAGTTAAGAAGCATTTTCCCATTTTCATTTATTGTTTTTTCCCTTTCTGGGCCTTTGCATTGAGGTCTTTCATTGAATTAATATTACTATTTACAAATACAGTATTGTAAATTGATCTCATCTTTGAAGTGATTGAATGAAGCCCACAAAACCTAAAACCATTACAAAGCCTAAATTCTACAAATTTATAAAAGAAGCTTTTGATATATTTTTATTACTGAATGTTACAATTTTTGCTCTTTTTTTATATTATTCTCTCTGATGTATCTTCAAACCCACTTTCTGCCACAGGCCATAATAATCCTGGGAGTCACTGGCGAGTGCCAAATGGATGAAGTGTACAAAATGAGCATTGAGAATATGCAGGACATTTTGTTTTTGTAGTTAAAATTCCTGACACCAAAATGTACGGAACAAATGTTCACTAGGGTGGGTAAAGTAAATTAAGTAGAATTACTGCAGTAAGGAAATGCATATTTTTGCCATCACCTACTACAAACCATAAGCATTTTTTGTTAGTTTTCAACCAAAAGGGAAAAATTTGATGAAAGCCAGATTTTTAAAACTGCCAAATGAGAATACATTAAGTAGATATTGCTTGTCTGTTAGTTTCCTGGCAGATGCTGGGGCTGATTTGTTAACAATAAAAAGACATGGTGGATGGAAATCAAACTCAGTTGCAGAAGGGTACCTTGATGAATTTGTTATAAATAAAACTGGAATTTTCAAAAACATTTACGTGTAAATCGTGTGATTGAAGAAATGGCTGTGACAAGTATTGCACCTCCACAAGAATTTAGATGAACTCAGAAGACATATTGAATGCACAAATTTAATATTTAAATTTCTATTAAAAAATGAAATGGCCTTGAAAAAAATTAGGACTTTTCCTCCATTTGATAGTAATTATTATTCTGGAGACAATTTCAAAAAAAAAAATGATAGTTATGGTAATTAATCTTTGCTTTTTTCACACCAAATTAGAATGAAGAATTCTATGTTTACAGTGTACCTCACATCTATTAATTCACAAGTATGTATTTAAATTCCGCAGGCAGTGAGTGATTTTTTGGTCAAAAGTCAATATTAAGAATTATATGATTCTATTAGCAACAACATATATGAGTAGTAAATCATTGAAATTATTGATTAAATCAAACACAGAAAATTGAATATTATTACTTACTGCTTTTCAAGCTCCTGAACTTTTTGCTCGAAGTACTGGCGCAGTTCTTCCATTTCCCGTGCACGTCTTGCTTCTAGCTGTGCCAGCAATTCACGTAAACGACCAGCCTCTGCTGCATGTTCTGCTGCCAGCTGTTGCGCCAGTTTCCTGTACTGATCTTTCTCTGCCTCTCCTTCAATAGAGTTGGTTCCTCTTGAAATTTGATGTGTAGATGCCATTTGCTTTGTACGCTCTGCCACAGGAGCAAACGCAGCATCAAGGCGTTCACTCACCACTCGAAGAGCTTGCTCTGCAACTTTGACTTTGCGTTCCAGCAGCTCTGAATAAAACAAAGTAATACTCACCAAAAAAAATTCATAAATCAAAACATTGAATTATCAAAATGAAATACATAAATATATAAATATGATATATAAAATTAAATAATATCTACATACAAAATATAAAAAACATTATTTTTTCTTCATTTGTGCATCTGACACTCTCAAAAGAAATAAGACTTTTTATAGAAAGTATTGCCATTTAGCTAAGTTATTAATATGAGAATTTGAGAGTTTTTGACCTCTCCTGTGAGTGACATGCAAAGCCAGCACTCAACAAATTCAACAAAATTAAAATAATGTTACCATCACATACATCTTAATAAAACCTAATCAGAAGGGTTATTTGACAACACTTGCCTGGGAGGTGCATTAGTGATGAATGTTAAAACAAAACACTATGTACTGTCATCAAAGTTACACACACAAGGCAGACTCAGAAATTAAAAGAATTGAAGTTTCTACATTTGACCAATACAAAATTTGACTGAATACAGCACAATGAAATGAAAATGATTAATTTTTATTGAAAAATATGGAAGTTTCTTTATTTAAACTTCCACAATTTCTCAAAGAGAACATGTATGAATTAGCAATTTTTACCTTCCCTGTGAATGATACTACCACGTCAATTACAAAAATTGCACAGATTATATTTAAATTCTAAAATGAGAAAAATACAAGTCACAGTTTTTCTGAGATATAGTTTTTATGTTTTTAAAAGTTATATAATCATACATTTAAGAAATGTAAGTTTGTTTTCATTTATGAACATATAAACATTATATGTTCATAATATAAACTTATAATTAGAAATGTAAGTTTATTGACATGTTAAATTAATAACAGATATGTTATTAATTTAATACGTTGCTTCTAGTTAAAGAGAAGTTCTTTATTACCAAGTCTTATCTTTTAGTTAGCTCTGATAAAGGTAAACAAAGTATTTGGTAGACAGAATTGCGCAAATGTTGAGATGGTCCCTTGTTTTGTTCCTATACATAAATGCACACATTTTTTTGAGACATTCATTTTTGATTTTCAAAGTAGTTTCTAGACAAACTTTCACCATTTACTTTCCTTTAATGCACTAAGGAAAGAATGAAAATTTCGAAGATTAAATGTCACATTCAAACTTCAAAAAGAACGTATCAGAAACTGACTGCAAAAACTGCAGAGTTTGTATTTGGAAGCAGCAGTATTAATTTTATTTGTTATTCTATTGAAACACATTGTTTTAATTACTTTCTGGATAATTTTGCATAAATGTAATTTTTGAAATGTCCCAAAGCAATTGATAAATATTCCTGTCCCATTTCACATTAATCTTCTTTTTTCATTTAGTTTCCCTTAAACCATTGCGCAAATATTGAAATGGTCCCTTGTTTTGTTCCTAGATATAAATGCACATATTTTTTTGAGATCTTCTTTTGCTAGTTGCAGGAACAAGGCAGGGGTGTTTTTCATCAGTAATACTTTAAATTCAAATATGAAGTAGAACATATGGTGATTTATTTATTATTTCTTATAGCTAAATTTATCCATAATTCAACTATGAAATAAAAGAGAGGGATAGGGATATTTACATTATACATCTCTCCTGTAAGCCATCGTATAAGATTTATAGTTTTTGCCAATAAATTAATTAATTATTTAGGTTGATTAAAGTTAATTAATTCAATTATTTAAGTTGGCAAGTTACAGAACTCACCCTCCGCTCGAGTTGTCAGTTTCTCCGCGTCACGTAGAAGCTCTTCCAAGGTCTTGGAAGTGCCAGGGTCCCGTGTGCCTGAGCCCTGCACCTCTGGGGAATCTCTGAGCAGCTGCAAAGCCATGGCCTCCTCTTCCAAAGCTTTCTCCAAGGCCTCCAGCTGAGAGTGCACTTCTTCCTTCCAGGCTGACGCCCAATCCTTTGTCACTTCCTGCACCCACACTCACATTAAAACAATGCTGACCACAAGAAAATCACGTATTGTCACCAGTGAAAAAGAAGTAAGAACATGAGACCGCAATCTTGGGGTTACATCATTCAACACAACCCTTTTTGCCCACATCATTTATTCACATTCAGTTAGCTTCAGGTAAGATTAATTACAAATTGTTCATGTTACAGGTTTCTAGAAATAACATTGCAAAAACCCAAATATTAATGCAGAAAATGACTGTGGTTATTGTCCATACACAATCTAAGTTTAAACAATTATTTAAAATTATATTAGTAAGGCTATTAAAGTTTTTAGGAACAGATGATGCTGTTTGGAGTAATATCTAAAAATTAATTAAAAAACATGAAAGTAAGTCTGTTATAAAGCAATGACAGAGTTTTTCTGATTCAACCCTGTTTTTGAAATTACTAGTTTCTACTTAGTCTTAAATGTTTCCATATTTACTTATTTATATTAAACAACTCACCCTAAGAGCACTTGTGTACTCCGAGTATAAAAGATGTTTCAGTTGAACGAGTGCAACTTGGCTTGAATCTGCAGAGTGGAGTTGTACTCCAGTGCTCACGTTCAAAAGGAGCTTTGCAGCGACTTCTTCATTATTCTCAGTTAAAAGGGCTGAATGCTTCTCCTGAAGACAATGAAACAAATAAGAACAGTCAAATAGCAAATTTTTTTACCAACTATAATTAATTAATTTAATTCTTTAAAGAAGGCCATTGATTGCATTAGCCATGTTATCTTACTTGCGAAATTAAGGAAGCTTAGAATAGGGGGAGCTTTGCTAAATTGGATTGGTAGTTACCTGATGGACAGAAAGCAACTTGTTTGTATTAAAGGCTATTCATTGAGGAAATGTGATGTAACTAGTGAAATTCCGTAAGGTTCACCCATTGAGCCCCTACTGTTCTATCTTTTTATAAACGACCTACTAGGGTATATGTCCAATAGTCAATGTCTGCTTTAGGTGGATGACACGGAATTGTATAGGGTTGTTAACGATGATGATATAGCTCCGCTTGAGCAAGATCTTAGCAATTTGCAGACGTGGTGCAGGGAAAATGATACGAGGCTAAATGTGGGGAAGTGCATTGTTATGTCCTTTACTAGAAAAATAAATAAAATAGTAGCAGATTATGAAATTGAAGGTGAACCTTTGAGTAGAGGTGACTGCGTAAGTCACCTGGGTGTCATGTTTGATGGTGAGCTGACTTTTGGGAATCATGTTCAGGGCATTATGGGGTTTGGTCTTGAGGAACTCTATGCAGTTTCAATCTGCTGCAACTCATTTGGTTCTCTAGCGAGCACTTGTTAGGCAATTCTTGAATAAGCATTGACCATTTGGAATCCATAAACAAAATAAAGTATATCAGCCATTGAAAGAGTTCAATACAAGTCTGTACAGGTTTTTTCGCATAAAATTGGCCTGACAATGCCCCAGGCAATCATGACTATGATGTCATTCTCCTAAGATCTAAATTAAATAACCTTCATGGTAGAAGAAAGTGCGTTGATATTCATTTCCTACATGATATTTTGTTGGATAAATTAGACTGCGCAGACATTCTTTCTTGCATACCGTTTAGAGTACGAAAATTAATATTTAAGAGAACAACTTCCTTTTTAGTTGATACAACTGCGAGTAACTATTGCACTAATTAGACGATGAATCGGATTTGTGGTTTGGCAAATGAGATTTGACAACTGGAAATAATGTCTTTCAAAGTTTTTTGAATAGACATCTTAATTAGTTCTGATTATGCGAAATTTGTTAGCTTGTATTTACTTTTATTTTCATTTTTTTTTACACTTATGTTTAAACTACTTTCCACCTATGAGAAATTTTTGATATTATATATGTATCTTCAAATGCTTTTCTCTGTTAATTCTTTTTGAATTTCTATGTGTATTAAAGGGTATCACCCATTAATTTTATTAAATAATAATAACACCAAAATAACAACAACAACAACAACAACAATAATAATAATAATAATAATAATAATAATAATAACAATAATAATGAAATAAAAACCATTTATCGTAAAGGCGTATGAATCCAGTAAAGCATAACACATCTAGGTCACATCATTGAAGTGGGGGAGTGGGGGTTGACCTTGAGGAATAGATTGCCTGCACACACCATCTCTTTTTTCTTTTCTTTTTCCACCTACCTCCAGTTCTTGCAGTGTCTTCAAGTGTTCTTTTTCCAATGTAGCTCGGAGGCATTCCAACTGCTGTTGATGGTGGGAGGTCAATGTGGCCACTTCCCTCTCCACAAGTTGCTCGTTCTGGCTCTATTGGAATTCAGGTAAACAATCACATAAAGAAGGTGCTTTTAAGAACACTTTCAAACTGTTATAAACTCATAATAAATCATAGTAAATCATTGTAATGGTATCAATGGTAAACTCATAATAAATCATATTTAACCATTGTAAGTGAAGCGTTATTCATCCACGTTCTTACTGAATTAAGGTTAAAAGTAATTATTTACATACATATACAGTCATGCACATAGCACATAGTCATGTTTTTGATAATGTCATCTCCATTCATTGACATTTCTGAACTTTAGGTTTCTAATACAAATTATCATTTCACTATGTTATAATTCACGAGATGCGTACACATCTCTGAGTATTATAATTTATTTTTTCAGATTTTAAGCATTTACTTCAAAATTGAAAAACATGATGTATACAAATAAACATGATGTTTAAACATTCAGAATTCTCACTTTCAAATATTTGCTTTTGGGTTTATTTTATCATTAATACATCTGAATAAAATTATTCATTAAAACACTAACATTATTAATCCAATGTAACATAGGTTTATCACTGGTTCATTCACGTTGAACAAAAGAATTGTAGGGATCATTTTCAACATAGTTTTCTTTTGCAATACCCAGATTTCTAACATTCTACACAATTATGTATATAAGCCCAGATTATATGACAATCACTTGTTCCTAACTGAGGTTACAACTTGCTTTCTAACAAGGATTCCCAATTATGTCAATACAAAATTATGTGGGTCTGTCTGAATGTGAAAGTGTGAAACTTTCACAGGCTACGCTTCTCCTATAATGAGCATTGTTATGTTAAACATATAATCTCATGAAAAATTATACACAAATAAAAATCCTAAAATTTGATAAATCTTATTTACTGTTTAATTCAAAATTTTTCTTCCTAATCTTTCACTTACAAACCCTCATAATTTTCAAAACATTTATAAACAACGAAATATTGTTTAACAAAGTAAGTTTTCATGGCCATCGTTAACTTTGCTGACTTTTCTGCTGCTGGCCAGTAGTCAGTCAGTAGCACACAACCTTTACTCCACTACCTCTAATGATGCCTGCCAGAGAGAAGATTAAATGTCCAGGAGGAGGACTTCACGTAGACTATGGCCTATCGGCTCAGAAAACAATTTTAGAAAAAACATTTTCTGACAAGGTGATGTAAATGAAAGTTCAAAACCGAAAGTGTAGAAAAACCATGCCACACAGCCCAACCGTGAACCTTTACAAACCTCCCAAATATTCCAACAACTGTATGTTCAGATATGTGCAACCCTGTGAGTTCACAATTAACTATCCAGGAAGCTGTATTCTGACATACTACATTACAATTGCAAATGCGAAACTGCATTAGACTTTCAAACATAAGAAGTACCTGAAGAAGAGTAGTTGTTCCAGCCACCAGTTGCCTTGCAAATTCCTCAAACAAATGCTTAAGGACAGCAAAGAGATGAGCTTGTCCTTCATCGAGACCAGAGCAGATTGTGTGCAGCTCCTGTTCATATCTCTCCTGAAAATAAAACCCCCAACATGAATCTCAAAATGTGTAGAGAGATTAACCCACATTAAATCAATATACACGAAAAAGAATATGGACAAACACATGGCTCAAAAAAACGCACCCGAAATGAATTAATGCTATGAGTGAATGCAAAATTAATTAATTATTATTAATTAATGAATTTATTTATTTATTTATATTTATTATTCTTTCTTTCTTTTCTAATTGTAATAACTTATATTTTCTGGCTGATTAGCTCATTCTAATTGTTAATGTTTTGAGTTACAAGCAGAAAAAGGTCTGATATTTTACTCAATTATTTTGGCAATGCTATAAAACTTTTCTCTTTTTCCATATTTTTCCCCAGAAAAATGTTAATGTAAGCAGGAAATGTATATATTGTGGTCCAATCGCTGGTGATGTTAATGCATTAACCATTTCAATATTTCAATGAAAACACAAAGCCCTTTCAATGTCACGAGCTGAAAAGGTGGAGAGCGAGCAGTCATGCAATCAAGCGCTTCAATACCAAAAATTTAAGTCACAATGAAGATCGCAAATCAATGCATTCCTTACAACATTTGTGAATTTCCAAAAGCATATTGTAGGATGAACAGTAAATTTTCAGTGTCAAATTCAAAAATTTTTCAAGATTTCTCAGGATTTTTTTTTTAATTGTTATATATGTGTTTTTTATTTTTTATTTTTGTATGTTGGTAGCAGGCACTAAATTAAAATTATTCTGGGTACAATAAATAATAATTCAAATGGACCAAACAATTGATTCCTGAGAATCAAACTTAATCTCCAGGTTTACACCTCTTTGTTCTATCACCAATCTATTGAGATGATCAATACACTGAGTAGTTTCATAGGCCACCAGTATTGCCCATAACTTGACATTCAATCGCTGTTACTCTGAAATCCCATTGGGTAGTTAAGTCCGACTTAATTCTGACCTAAGGCAACACACCTTAAAAACTACTAATACACTTCATAAATTTTTACACAAAACTGTCTTCCCAAATTTTCACGCTTCATTTAAATAATATTCCGTATAAAATTTAAAAAAATTGATTTTCAGTAATGATTGTTCTGTATTAGTAATGGGTATAATTCAAATCTATTCTTTTATCTGTTTTCAATATACATTTTGGTGTAAAATCAATAAGGTTCAAATGAGTGTTTCAATCGAATAGGGCAATCAGGGAGTCAAATAGGATTACTTTCTGCTAATGAACATGTGATCGGAAATCTTTTATAAGGAGTTTACAAATGACACATGGACAAATGGTACAAATGACACAACCCCACTATGGTAGGCAATTCATCCTGCACTGGTGTTTGCCAGGTACAGTTTCAGGGAACTTTAAAAATTGAGAGGTTTCATACCAAATCATTTTCTTTACAAAGGTTATATTTTAATTACTCAAAGACTGCCTTTCTTAATATGGCTTTTAATAGATACTCCGACATACTAAATTTCCTTGGGCAAAATTCATGCGTGGACTGCATTTTTCCGGAACTGTACTATTTAATGTTCCATTTGCAAGAACAAACTCTTTATATTATGTTACTTTGAGGACAATGTGTTGGGAAGCTAACAATGATGTGATTGATCCAAATTGCGCAATTTATATTCTTAAATGTAATGAGATAAACCTGCTTTTGAATGATTTCAAATTATGTTATTAATATCCTAATTATAATTCTGTATTTGCCTGTATTGTCTTGTCTGTAAAGTTTAAAAAAATAAATAAATAAATGTCTATTGGCAAAAAGAGTTCATCTTCAAACCCCCCACATGCCTTAGAAGTTTGTATCATTTACTCGGAACCACTCTGCATCACATCCAAAAGTTCGTTGGCTTTTCTCCCCCTGTTCTTCTACCCACATCAACACGTTCTTGAAATCATTTACCAAATCATCAAAGTACACAAGTGCAATAAACATACTTGTGCTAAATCTCAACCTACCTTTGCTGCAGATAATTCCGTTGACATATGGCCAGCACTGCCCAAAGTTGTTGCAAGATGAGCATTTCGCAGCCGCTCTAGCTCCTTCTCTGCGCTCAGAAGGGCATGCTGCAGCTTGGCCAACTGCCACAGACCAACACAACAGAGGCTTCATGCATTAGCAGGGCACAGAGTGCACATGCAGAGACAAAGATACTTGTACAAAGTTGGAAACACTAAAGCATATACACAAGTGCCAAAATAAAAATTTATTCAACTTCTTTGATGTCATTTTCAAGAGAAATGGCACATGCAAAAAAATATATTAAAAGAATTAGGATATTAATCAGGGTGGGGTGTCAACAACTCTGGCCTCTCAAAATTCTCAAATTGTAAATTTACTCAATTTCTCACAAATTTAATTCAAACAAATTGTAAATATAATTAATTACCTTTAATAAACCTCAACCTTATTTTTAAAACATGGTGAGTACTATAGATCTCTTTTTCACAACTCAAAATTAATAATTTTTCCATTTAGAAAATCACCCGACCAGCTTCATGCAACTTAAAAAGTATTCAGGTCACACTTATGTTCTGCAGTAAAATTTGCTTAGTCTGAAGCATCAACAGTAAAATATCACAAACAATATTTCAACAAACCAATAAAAATTTCAAATCTGATAATTTCATTTATCAAAATTTGTTATTTAAACAACATATTTATACTTCCAAATAAATTTAAATTAACTTTTAAATGGAAAACAATGGTTCAATATCTTCATGAAATGGTTAAATATTTCCCAGATTAAACCCAAAATACTGCTTTTAAAAGGTTTCAGTTATTTCAAATTTCCTGACATTTTTACATTTTTCAGCTCTGCTTAAATTTCTTCAATATTTTATGAATTTGAGTTTTATTTAGCATGTAAAGATTTCTTTTCTTTAGCCCAAGTGAAGCATTTCATATTAAACATTTTCCTACAATGTAATCTATGTATATTTGTATTTAGATGATGTTTTGTGATGATGCCCTCTCTATCTCTCACTTTTGGCCATGCACCACAACAACATTCGTACCTTCCAGCTTCCGTTCCCAGTACGTAATGTTCTTTCGGGGTCGCTAGTCCCGAGCAAGAGGCATTTGCCTCCATTGAACAATTTTCAAACTTCCGTCAATTCCTTTCTCTCCTTCTGTTCAAATGTGCAAGAACAAGCAAAAATTTCACAGAAAACTGAATCTAAGTACTGATTACCTATCCCAGACTTTCACATTAATTAATCACTTTACAATAATTAGTTGGACCAGAGCAAATAGTTCACACTATATAAATCACCACTTTAAAAGTGAAAATAGCTCATAAGGACCCCCAATTGCAAGCAATGAAACCTGAGCTCTGGATTAAATCATTTAGGCCAGGCACTGTGCAAGGATAAACATTATATTATTGCTTAATTAATAAAAATATTTAGATATATATGATTAAACAACGCAAAATATGAAATGGTGATTCTAATTTTTCATAATTCTGCGATTCCGCACGATTCTGAATCCTAGTCCTACAGAAAAGGGAACCCAGAAATATTAAAACCTCTTCAAATGCAATAGATGATCCAAAAAGATCTAATTTTGTAGATTATGATCCAAGAAATATTTTGGATACAGTGCAAGCATACTACAACTGACATATGCTATCATTGAAGGGCACAGGATGCTCTGTTTTTGAGTTATCCATAATTGTAATGGATGTTGATGGCGTATGCACCTGCTGACTTCTTCGAAGCACCATGATCATGTTTCTACATATTTATCTTAAAAATGTATGACAACCCCCTTTAATTACAGAAACCTAAGTGACCAGTGTGAATTGATTGAGTTTGTTGTAAGGGTTTTGAAAATAACAAAAATGTTCCACTGTAATAAAAACTAATAATAAAACAATTACTTCAAAATACTGTGAAATTGTCAACCTGGATGGCTTTGAGCAAAAGGGCAGCAATCTCAATACCTGTACTGGACACAGATCTTTGTCCCTCAACTTGTGTTGCATGTGTTCTCATGTAGACTCTCTTATCGATAACCCTTATTGAGGCCCCTTGTTTTGCTTCTGGATGTAAATGTAGCTTCACTATGCGCACGTTTTGTTGAACTCTCCTTTTGCTTGTAATGGTAGGAGTAGGGGTAAGGGCGAGTTACTATTTTGTTAGCAATGCAGAAAAATTATACTTGCAATTCGTTTACCAATGCAAATAAGTTTTCTATAACCGAGGAACAAAAATGTCGAATTTTTTCAAATATTGCTAATCTCACGCTTTTTTTAAATTTATTTTTAATTTTTTTTATTTTACTCATTTTTCAACTACTTATAGTTAAAATGATGGGAAGGGTTTCTGGAACTCAAATGAAATGCAAATGATTCTGGAGCGCAAATGAACTTCTCCCCCATATGTCACATATAGTTTTTACTATTTTTTTTTTTTTTTTGACAAAATAAATCTAAATCTAAACCCCAGTACCAAGGAGCCCACAACTGTGTTTAGTTTATAGCGTGGCTAACTGGCATAATCTGTTGAAAGTTGTAACAAAAAAAATGGTAAATTTCCAGATTTGAAGTTTTATAGCCAAAATTCATGTCACTAAAATAATTTTAGGTTTCAGAGTACAATAGAGCTGAAGGATTTCATTTGCTTGCTCATTCTCGGTCGAATGTTTCATCCTCAAGAACCGTAAGTCCTGTGCTCATGATAGGCCGATTCACAGACCAGAGCAATAGCTTTCATGGCTTTGCTTCACCTCTTTAGGAAAAAATAAGCAACTGTCTTGTTTAAGTGGAACTAGAGAGCTTTTAGCCTGTGATGAAGATTCCAAAAACTGACTGGGCTGCCATCTAGCAAATTATAGTGTTAATTGTTCTGGTACTACACTGAAATCATCTCACGTAAGGCTCTAGTGTATCATGTAATCCCACTCAAAGTAGGGAAACATTTACACATCTTCACAGAAAAGCAATTCAAATTTTTTACTTGAATCTTTCATTATTAGATAAATTTGTTCATGCAAAGAACCATATTTGATTAAAACATTGGGTTTTCCTCCATAAAAGCCTGAAATATAAATGTATTTTTTGGTTTTTCTACATATGGCACACATTCTGAATACTGATAAAATTACCGTTTCAAAAATTAACATTAAAGAAAACAATTGTAACTAAAAACTTCACCTAAGAAACATGACATTGCATGCATTATTGCAATAAGTCTGGGTCAGAACACATATTGAAAGAAAAAAGAAGAAGAAAATATTCATGCAGAAAAACGTTTTATTTCACTTAAGTGAAGAGATACATTGGTTGTGAGCTGATTGAGCTAAATGAGCCCAGGCCAAGATAAATCTCACCACATAAGCACGCCAAATCACAGTTATGATTTTGTTAATGTTGTTATCAACAGCATGAAAAACTGCATGTGAAGGCACAAACAGTGAGGCAAAAGAGTGCTGCTAATGGTGTTATGGTGTTATCCTGACCCAGACTTGAACAATTTTCAGGAAAATAATAAAAAAAACAAAAAAACATCACAGCCCTTAGCATACATTGCATGCTCATAGCAAAAAAAAATAATTTCCTCTCCTCATACACTAAATAGTTGTTTTTTTTAAACAAAACGGAAACATGTCCTCATTGGTAACTGCAAGTGGTATACAACTTATTCTAGTCTATCCTCCCTTGCACAAGAATGACATGCTTGTTCTACAATATACAGTATATATACAATAAAATAAAACAAATAAAAGTAGAAAAGATCAACAAAGCATGAATACAATATACATTCCAAATTCCAAAATGAACAACATTAAAAAAAAGGGGGGGAGGGTGAAATAGTGAAATATTCCTTAGATAATTAAACTATCTCAAAAATCTTGGGCCCCTACAATTTTGGTGTTAAGTTCTAAGAAGTTGTCTTACTTTTTGTCTGTGTGATAACTTAACACTAGAACACCCTACCATTGGATTTACCAAGAACACACGCAAGCAGTCAAAATGTCTGCAGATGTTTTATGTCATGTAGTCAAATCACCTAAACAAGGATACTTTCACTGTTTTTTTTTTTTTTTTTTTTTTTTTTTTTTTTTTTTTTTTTTTTTTTTTTTTTTTTTTTTGTAATAAACAATTGTTTCTGAAAGCTCTTCCTGATAGACAATGCCTATAATTACATTTCCTTGCATATTGATTGTCATCAGAACAATTCTTTAGAGCAAGTGTGATGCCTAGACATCCTCATTTTTTATGAAAAAGCGATATTTTGTTATGAATCATCAACAAGGATGCTTCAAAATCAACAAATAATTTCCCTGCTGCATAAAACACGCGTTCTCACACACGGTGTAATAAACTTCTTTGAAATGAAGATACGTCTGAATCAATGTCAACAGTAGCTAAAAGACAGGATTTATGGAAAGCACTTGTCTGTTGTATTTCATTGCAAGATACCTACATAAAACTATAATGCTTTGTTTCACTGATGTGACTAGAATATCAACATTTCAAATAAGTTAAACTTTGTTGGAATTGTCTTTCATTGATTGCATGCATGATTTCTCGTAAGCCACTCAGATAACAAGACTGATCCAGAAAAGCATGGCTCAACTGTAAGGCAACTAGTCAATTTGACATATTTAGGATGTTTAAGGTAGAGTAAACAATAAAACGACTGAGGTTCAATGAAAATTTTCAAAAATTTCAAGAAATATCCGTATCGTAAGTTCACAAAGTCACTAGCTCTCAGAGCCTCATTGCTCACTGTTCCAATGAAAACAAAACTTGAATATGACATAGCTGTGAAAATGGCATTGGGCACTCTAGTGTTAATGCACTAGAATTTACTTGTATCCAATATCTAGAATTTGATACAGTTCACATTTATCCAAAACTTCAGCACAGACAACCACACCTTCCAAAATGGTTCTCTAAATAAGACTTTTCACTTATTACTTTTCATAATGGTTCAGTGTATTAAAGTAAAATTAAGATATACTATAGTATAACCAAAAATAGCAAGAAATTATATTAAGAAGCACTATCTGAGGGCACTATTTGGAGAAAATTGATAGACCTATCTCCTTAAGAGAAAAGTAATCCCCTGCC